AATTTGTGTCTCACTCATTCTGTGGTTACCCAGCAACACCCTGGTGAGTAACTGGCAGATGTTTCAGTTTTCACCACTGTGCTTCGTAACTTCTTGTAAGTAAAAGAAGAAAATGAGCATAACAGCTAGAGATGGAAAGAGAGAAGCTCACATGAACAGTTTCGCAATAGTTTTGATATTTAAACAAAAAACGAATCAATATTTATCGATACGTTTATATCGCGATACATTCTTCAGCCATATTGTCCAGCCTACAGTAAAGTGGGAACCAGTTATTGGTTTGGTTTTGACACCCTGTATTACTCTCATATTATTTATGCTGTGTTCATACTGAAGTGACCCAATTCCAGTTTTTGTCAAATTTGACATTTTTGGTTTCCATTTCCAAATGCAACTTGTATGGGATCTCTAGTGTGAACTGAAAACGACCTGAAAGTGTCCCGCATGCGCAGTAGAGGGCGCAATGACGTCACACACAGTGTTTTGCCAACCACTATAAAAGAAGTGCTGAGTGTTTGCAGAAGTGAACATGGATGCTAACGATGGAGCATAGCTAATGATTTTAAAGTTGTTATCCAAAAAGAGCCAGAACATTTACATCTTATCATGGTCTGCCATGGTTGTTGTTTTTCTTCCCTCTTGCAAGTATCAGGATGCAGAATGGTGCGTTGGTCGGGTATGAGTGACGTTCAGGTTGGATGAACGCGACCTGGACGATCAGATTCTGGTCACATTTGAAAAGATCAGACAGTATCGGATATCCAACCCCATCTGGGTCGATTCAAAAAGATCTGATCTGCGTTGACAGTCATGATCAGACACAGGTCACATTAAGACAAAAGAGAATGGAGGTCAGTGTGAACTTTGGCGTTTTCTCTCCTGACAGTCCAGTAGATTCAGTTCGATTAGCAAGCAAAATTTCAATGTGTCAAACAACCAAACCATATATATATATATATACATACATGTATCCAATATATATGATTCATTATTAATCATTATTTATTGGTGTTTGTATAGTTATATAAATATAGATATTACTAAATAATTTATTAAATAAATTATGAACGGCTGTGTGCTTTGTAATATGCTCTTCATACATCGATATCAGAATATTCCATTCCTATTCTATTGTTATAGCCACTAAGCATATTTAAATATGATGAACTATGTATTAAAAACCTATTTAAAAAATACAATTGTTTATAAATGTTGCTTTGATAGATATTTGAATATGGTTTACAGAAACAAAAAGTGTGTTATGATCGATTAAATGCGCTGATACGTCATTGTGCTGCTAAACGCATAACGCTGAGTGGAGTGGTGTACCGCTCCAAGATGGCCGCCCTAAATCTCGTCAGCAACAATAGGCGAGAGCGGTCCATGAGGCGTCTATCCTTATGTCTATGATTTCTCCTGCTAGCTCTAGAGTCACGTGTTTGTTTTGATTGTATTTACCCAGAATGCCCGGCACTGTAGTCCACTTCCTACTTTTGGAGCGGACTTTGGGCTGCTTGTATTCAAACAGCACCAGAGTTCACTTTTCTGGCCCAATTTCACATTCACACCTCGCAAACGAACCAGACGTTCTAGATAAACAAACTAGAGTTTGATTAAAGCGCATCATCCCGACACTATTTCATTTTATGTATTTTTTCTTCTTTTTTTACTTGCTTTAACATCAATTACCCGTTGGGGAATCAAATAAACCTGAGCCTGCCTTTCTGTGTCGAACACTGAAAGTCAATGAAATGAGATATTGCTGTGCTTAACGTATTGCTACGCACTCTTTACTTTTTCTAACATAGAAAGTTACCAGCACTAGATATTCTGTTTTTTGTGTGTCTCCATGTTCTGAAATTAAATGGAGTAGTAGGACAATATTGAAATAAATGCTGGCATGTCTTTGTGAAAAGTGAATGAAAGTGCTCTACAGAACCTGGAGTTTGTTCAAAACGTTCCAGTTTGATGGACTGAAGGAAATCGACATAAAAGCAGGTCGGCCACTCTCTGACCTCTCAACATGAGCGAACTGAATCATCTCGTCATTTGTCTCCAACAAACATCCGACTGTCTCCAGTGTGTGTGGTCTCAGCTGGATCCAAATGGATAGTTCAAAGCTATAAAACTCATTTTAGAAGTCAAATTACCTGTAAAATTGAAGCATATGAGTCATATAAAACACAATCTCTCTATTGACATCATAGAAAACTCCCATGCCAAAGTTCAGTCACCCGTGGACATTAACCTATTTTCTCCCCTCATTAAAAAGATACTTCATTCATGACTGCTGAAACACAAAGTAACCATTTTCTGCGGATGAATTGCATTAAATGAATTTCCTGTCTTTTGAAGCTCAAAGCTGTGATGGAAAAATGCAGCAAATCAGGTGTGGAGCTATCTATTCATCTAGATTTCAGTGAGAAATTAACAGATCTTGACTTCAATTTAGGAGGTCAAACGTTCAGTTTATTTGTTGATTTTGTAAAACAGGATTTTTTAATTATTATTGACACATTAAAAGCAACAAAAATGCAGATAAAGCATTAAAATTGGTCACATTTATATTTAGTCAAGTTTTATTGATACATATAACTATTTTATTGATTGTTTATTGAAACTATGCACAATATATGATGATAATCATGAGATTAGATAAATAATAATAAAAAAAAAATAGTCTCACCTTCTGCCTCAGAAGTGAAAAGGAACAAAAATCACAGCTCTGCCTTCCTCATAATCTCCTCCAAACAGTTGCGTCTTCACGCTTTTTACCTCCTGAAAGTGAAATCACCGCTACCTTTAACTAAACCGAGAGAAAAGAGAAACTGCAGCATGAACTCCTCCTGTCAGTGTTGCAGAGACTGTCAGCAGCCTTGCAGTGCAGCCCAAACGCGGACATGTGGAATAATAAATCCACAACATCGTCATGTGACCACTACCAACGTCCAGAGACGCTCTGCCGCTGCTTGACAGGAAGGAGAGTCACGTTTCTCCAGGAGCTGGACGTGCGCGCCCTCTGCTGGACACAGAGGAGAAATCACTATAAAAATCTGAGTTCAACATGTTTTTACTGCGTTTTAGGGCCGTTAATGATAGAAAAGACGAGGAATAAATTTCCGAAAAAAGAAAAAAAAATTAATCTACAAAAATGTCGATATAAAACTTGAATTTTTTGAGATCCAAAAGTTGAAAATATGTGAAAAATAAGCTTAGAAAATTTTAGATCAATCTCAAAAATGTTCAAGAAAAAATATGGACATTTCTGATTCTGGAAAGTGGAATATTTCCTAGATTAAAAACTGAGAATTTTTTAAAAATTACTATCAGAATTTTTCTAGAAACATTTTGGAAATCTTTTAGCTCCAACAGTTAAAAATTTGTGAAAACAAATCTCAGAAATTTTCAAAAAAAAAAAAAAAAAAAAAAAAACTAGGAAATTTCTAAGTTTCGAAAGTAAATCAACAGTTGAAGCCAAGAAATTTGAAGAAACTAGGAAGCGAGTTTTGTCTGGAAAATTTCAGGAAAAATGTTTTTTAGCAAATTTTTAAACCAACTCAGAAATATATACATTTTTTTCTCAAAATGTTGAGATTAATTTAAAAATTTCTCATTTTTTCTAGCAAATTTTTGACTTAAAAATGTACAAGTTTTGTCTAGAAAATTTCTGAGATTAATATAAAAATTTCTGAGTTTTTTAGGAATTATTTAAACTTTTAACCTGAGAAATATATTTTTTTCCTCAAAAATGTCTGAGATTAATCTCAAGATTTCTCTAATTTTCCTAGCAAAGTTTAGACTTTTATAACTAAGTAATTTACGAGTTTTGTCTAGAAAATTTCTGAGATTAATCTAAAATTTTTAGCAAAGATTTACTCCTGTTTTGTTATTATTCAGTGAAAAGTGTTGACTACTATAACAAAATCAAACATTTACGCAACATAATTATCTTTACCAGTGACGTCAAAACATTCCTGACAACACCTGAAGGCATCACGGAGTGGGCGGGGCGTAAATATACCTGAGCCGAAACGTCCTTTGGTTGGGCAGGTATTCAGGAAGTCCAACATCAAACATACCGAACTGAAGGTAAAAACGGCAAATAGCTGAAACATAATCTGTGAGATATAATCTGTGAGATATAATCTGTGAGATATAATCCGTTTCTGTGTTCAACTTTAACTGTGATTTTCATGTTTGACGTTTAGAAACAGTGAGTTGTTCTTCATATTGGGCGGGTCGCTTCTTTCTGCTGATCTGACGATCATTTTGATAATTATATCAGTATAATACGGACCATGTGTAGAAACCAGCTAATTTAATGCTCCTTCAGACACTGGAACATTTTTAACTTTGTAAAAAGTGTGCTTTAAATTTAAATCTATAAATTTGCCAAATTAAACATAAAAGTATGCAGAAAGACGCTATATATAATATTAGATACTCGTGGTTCACATTTTAGTTTATTGAAGTTGATTTAAAATAAACGCAACTCTTTTCTCTCTGCTGCCATTGCTCTAATTATATCCACGTTTCAGTTTAATCATACTTTAAATACACTTATGAATTGTTCTATCTTGATATTAAGATATTATAAGTATATATGTAAGTTTATGCAGTGGAAACAAGTTTCTTAAAGTATTCTTAAAGTTAACTCAAACTGCAATGTTTTAACAAAATCACAAGAATCAAAAATCTATTTATTCTTATCAATACATTGTGGCAGAAATAAGTAAAAAGCAGCCTATCAAGTATTAAATTATAAAATAATTATTGGTATTAGTGAAATTAGTCTTAAATTTCTCTATATTTTTCAGAATAAGCCAAGTAAACGTCAATATGCTATTTTTCAGTTGAATCTTTGGTATAAAATAATTAATAGTTCTTTTGAATAACTTAGATTTTGCTCTGCCACATAAATAAGCTGCAGCATTTGGATCTGAATATGACTTTATGGCTATGAATTGGACCAGTTAAACTGAATCTGGAGACATTTTGGTTCTGTTTGTCTGTTTTCTGACAGTTTGCTTTCTCCACTGCTGTGCTGAACAGATAAAACTCCTCTTCATGTTCGGCTTGCTACCCAAAGCCTGAACGTTTTGCTGGAACTGGTCATTCCTGCTGCGCTTGCTAACAGCCTGGTTCCAGAAAAAACGCCCCAAAGCATGATGCTTCCCCCACCGCCTTACCTCCAGTGTTCTTTAGCAGAACAAACCTTAGTAAAGTCGTCCATTACACAAGCTTTGGGAAACTTTAGATATTTTTTTTTTTTTACAAACCTTGGATGTTTTAATTAGTAATAAATTAATTCCATCTCACCTCTTTTAATGACGTTCTTTGACTTTTCATCACTTTTTCACCATATTCTCATCTCTACACTGTTAGAAATTATTTTGTGCTCTTCTCCTGACTTATACTTTTAGACATATTTTGCAAGATCTCTTGACATTCAGAGTGAGATGACACTGAGAAAAGCAGTTTCTGCACTTAATCAGAAGGCAGGTGAATATGAACACTATGCAGCCACATTATTTTACTTCATTCCCCCCATTTTTTTTGTTGTAATTCTCCAGGAAACCACAAGGTGGCGAAGTTACATCTTGGCAGGCTTCAGTTGTGCCACAATTCATCTCATTTTATGAGACCATATAATCTGCTGGCTGCATCTCTGAAATATGAAAGTGACAGAGAGGATTTCTGCTTGAGCTACGGGACGTAAATGTTGTTTTCCAACTTATTCAGAATATTTCCCGGCAGACCTGCGACCTCCTGCAAGGTTCTGGCAAATTGGCTTGCAGGAGGAAATTCATCCTGGTCTCCTTCAAGCAGCAGCAGACCTGCTGGAGAGCGGCAAAGGAACGACTCTGACGCTTCTGTTTGGGATTAACTCAAATAAGATTCATATTTTTAAAGCACTCCGCACCGTGAAAAGGTTTTCCTCTTGCAGACTTTCTCATGTTTTTGTTTTACTGTCTCAAATATTCTGGATCAAACACATTTAATGAAATACAAAGGCTACGTTCACAAACCAAACAAAATGTTCTTTTTTATTTCTTTTTTCCCATTATGTGACCAAGACCCAACTTTTTCAGGGCAGTCTGAAAGGCCCAACACACCACACAAATAAAAAATCTGATTTCTTCCATTTCCTGATGTGGTGTTGCTTCAGATAAATATCTATTGCTCATCTGCCACTGCAGGCAGGAAAAACTTAGTAAATTTACAGCAAAGAACTCAGAAATTGGACATTTATGAGCTTCAGAAGTTTAATATATGTGAGAAAATTCCATATTAATCAGATATGGAAATTTCTGAGTTTGAAAAATCAGAAATTTTGAGATTAATCTACAAAATTTTCTACAAAAAACTTGGAAATTTCTTAGTTTCAAAATTTGAAAATGTTCAAGTTTTGAAAATTTTTATCAACATTTCTGAATCGTCTAAAAATTTCAGAATTCTTTTTCTAGGTTTTTTTTTCTATTGGAGTTCGAAAATGTCCTTGTTTTTCTAGAAATGTTCTGAGGTTAATCTCAAAATTTCAGAGTTTTTTGGGGGATTTAGTCCTTTTTTCAATCTGCGATGGCTCTACCGCGCTGTCTGATGCACTGATGGTTTTCAAAGCGTCTCCAATCATCACATTTTCCGTTCCAGATGAATCTGTTATTGACTTTCTTTTATGAAATAGATTATTGCTCCTTAACCTTTTAGCCTACTTCATGTTTTCAGTCAGAAACCTTTTAAAAGTCGGATACATCTGGATGTTTGAGTTGGTCTTCACCTTTCTCAAATGAAACTACAAACAGCTTTTTGTGTTCAAGTTAAAATAAAGTAAAAAAGTAGGAGAAATGTGTCTGTTTTCACTTTGGTGGCTGCAGAAAAAGCAAAAGCTGCTGCGTTTAGTAACGGAGATCTATAGGAAGCAGTAATGTGCGTTGGTGCATATTACATTTGTTTACAAGTCCTGGTTCAGTAGCTAAATCTAAATTAAAGTGCTTCCAGCAAATGAGACAAGCTGTATATACAGTGAGTTTATGTGTCTATAAAACCAGACCCACTGAGGCCTGTAAGGTTCAGGAAATGCTGCCCTCATGCCGAACATCAGCACTGCAGAACGCCGTCAGATTTCCTTCAGCCCAGCCACACTTTGTTGGTTAACTTCCTCCGTCTCTTTGCCCCGGTCACTTTCTGTATGTCACTCACTCCGCTGGGAGCTCGTTATTGTCTCAGCCAATCATACCTCATCCTTAATTAACTCAGGAAATTGCATTCCTGTATTTACAGCCCTAATAACTCGCCTGGCCTGCTGAAAAGGTCACATCAACAGTTTAGCAGGTTTTTGCACTACAGCACCGTAACCCAGAGGGACTGTAACAGAACCCCAAACCTGAGGGAGCCTGTAAAAAATCATAAAAAGAAAGTGTTTTTTGACCTTCGAACGTACTGAGATTCAGCTCAAAATGTTCACTGGAAAATAGGCTTATGTGGAAGAAGAAGGCGACGCGGCGGCACGTGTCAGAAACTGTTAAAGTGTTAAAGTCCTGACGCCACAGACAGACGAGTTTTGAGACGATGCGCCTGAAGGGTGAATGTCAGTGAGCGGATGTGTGCAAGTTCACAGCTGAGATCTGGTCGTCTGGGGACAGAAATCATTTATAATTTCTCTGCTTTTTTGGGAAACAACATGTGATTTTTATGGAGCAGCGTTTGAAAAATCCCAACAGAATGACGGCGCTGTGCAACGTGCTGGAAAAGACAAGTGCTTTGTTGTTGACTTGCCATTCTTGTTGGTTGTGCAGGAGGCTCCACTTCTGCTTTTCAAAGATGTTATGCTTCTTCAGCGCCTGGAAGAATTGGTTTTATAGAAAAGAAGCATGAAGAAGAATACTCAGTCAACAAGTTTAAGCTAAAAAGCAAAACATGAGAACAGGAACGCAGCACTGCCCCTTCCAAACATATAATCTACAAAACGTTTTTATCTTTTGTCTCTTTGGAGATCCTTTTTCTAATCGTCCAATCAGCAACCAGCTGGTATGTTAGGAAGATGGATCTCTAATGTTTTTCTTCTTGATGTAAGGAGACACCAGGGAAGACTCAGACTTTGAGCGTATTGTATCCTCAATGGTTCACGGTTTTTGTTTTCCATGCCAGGGTGATGCTGCGGTAGTTTGGGGATAATGAGCGAGCTGCATCCGGTGTCGTCCTGGTCCGTGGAAGAGGTGCTGGAGTGGATTCAGGAGCAGCATCCAGGACTCATGGAGATTCTCTACAAAGGCATCATCAAACACGACATATCAGGTACAAATAATCCCGTCTTTTTAAATCTAAACGACCAGAAGACGTTTGGTTTATAATCAGTGTTAGCAAAAGATTTTATGTTAAGTTCTACGGGGTTTTAGGACGCGTTCACACCAACCCAGTGTATTCTGGGCCAGACAATCTGGTTCGTTTAGGGAAGTGTGAATGTGTACTTGACCAAAAACGTCAACTCTGGTCCGCCTTGAGAAATCGGTCTTGGTTTGGTTGACGTAAGAAAGAGTGGTAAACACAGAAAGAGTTCCCAAAAGGTAACTGATGTTACAGTAAGTAAAGAAGGATGAAGCAAAGACTGAAAAACAAAGGGTGCGTTCCCACCGACCCGGTTCAGTCCGCTAACCGTAGTTCGTTTGACTAGAAAGTCCGGTTCATTTGGCGAGGTGCGAATGCATAATCGACCAAAAAAGCGAACTCTCAGTCTCAGTTTGATCAAAGTGAACTCTAACAGGAAGTGAACTACAGCGCGGGGCATTCTGGGTAAATACAACCAAAACAAACATTAAGTCTAACACTTTTTACCAAAGACAAAACAAAGCAAAACATTCCATGGAGAAGAAAGTTGCGCTCATGTCTTGTTTAGAGGTTTTTATATCGTTTTCTTCAGTGGTTTTTGCTGCAGTGCCCCCTCTGGCGGGGAGGGGAACAGGTTTTTTGAAAGCTTTGATAAATAAGAAAACCGGAGCAGCTGAAAATGTAACAAATGCAGCAGTTTTGGACTATGAGGTGTGAAAACATCTTTAGTTCAGTCTCCTGCTGTGAATGCTGATTTGTGGGTTGTAAATGACTTTGCAGGCCGAGCTCTACTGAGACTAAGGGAACATCACCTGCAGCTTCTCGGGGTGGAGGACGACGAGCAGCAGCAGGAAATACTGCAGGACCTTCTGCTTCTCAGAGTTCAGGAAGAAATCAATGAACTCAATGACATCTGCTCTGGTAAATACACCAGCGGCTGAGCAGCATACTGATACAGTACAGTCAGAAAAATCAGCTCTGCACAGAAGTGCAGCATTAACATAGATGAAAACAGCTCATTTGGCTCAGAGCTTAAAAACATGTAAGCTCAGTAAACATTGACTTTATTTGATCTCTTGTCTCCTGACCAGACTGTTTTTCTTCATAAAGACGGCGAAACGACAGAAAGATACCAGCTGGGTTTTTTATTTCCCGTCTATCCATTCATCTGTGCGAAGGAGATTGAAAGGTGGCAGTGATGGAAATAACAAGAGAAGGTGAACAGAGAGGAGGATCGATGGGGAGAGAGAGATGGGGAGAGAGAGAGAAACCCATTTCCTGTGTGAAATTTGACCCTCGCAGATGGATGAGATTAGTTTTTGTCTGGTTGTCTTTTTTTTTTTTTATCCCTATTGTCCATTTGTCTCCGTCCTTTTCCTCCGTCTGTATTCTGTTTAACCATACCAGTATCAAATATCCTGCAAATCTGTATTAAATAACACTCCCAGCATCCAGAAAGCCCTTGTGGCTGATGCTAAGAACTGCAAAAATAAAAATAAAAATTCTGTTTCCAGGTCTAGAAAAGTATTTTGTTTGCTGATTTTCTTTTTGTAAGTACATGTATAAAGTATTTATACAGTATGAACAGTTCAATATTTTGTCATAATAAAACTCTTTCATTTAGGTTCAAATCTAAAACTTGCTAAATTTGTTTCACTTAAAGAGCAGAAGACACAACTAAATGTTTTACAGTGCACCACTTCCTGTCGTCGTCTTCGTCTGTTTTACCAGTAATAACACACAGTAACGCTGCATTTTTGCAAAATGAACTAATTTCCATACAGTAAAAAAAAAACTTCTCATCCAAACACAAAAACTTTGAGTTTTGTCAGAATTGTTGTTTCGGTTTATTTTTGCAGTTCCAGTTTGAACATTTATATGTTGAATGGAGTCGCAGCTCATTGAGCCGTTTTCCATCCATTCATTGTTTTATTCTAACATTTTTATTCTAAAAACATTAATTTGGACTCAAGGTTTGATGGAAAAGTAGGTCACAACATTTTCTTTGTTTTTGTAATTTTCAGTTTGAAATTTTTCATCTTGGAAACATTTATTGTAACGTTAAAGACTAAAAATCTGAAAATGTAATAAAGAATTTATTTCAGCTTTTTTCTTCCTATATATAAAACTTTAAAACATAAAAAGTAAACCAGAAGATGCTGATATGCTTCCCTTCTGAAATATATTTTCAGTTTTTTCTTTAAAACAGACTTTGACATTTATTTTCATTTCTCAATAACATGAATTTATCTTCCAGTTCATGTTGGTTTGTGCTTATTATTAGATATTTGTCTTTTTAGTTCACAGCTAAACACAAAAATGTTAAAGAAGTCAGATCAACAGAGTTTGAGCTTTTCAAGTTTTTGCCACAGGAAAAAAAACAACAAATTAAAATTAGTAAAAAAAAACCAACTTTAAACAGAAATCTGCTAAATAAGATGCATCTGTGCAGCTTCTTCTGATATTTCTGATACTAAATTACAAAACCTGAACTGAAATAGTTTTGCTGTTTGCTTTTCTTTCTTTTCTGACTGATCTAAACTAAAAAGATATTATTTTTTTTACTTTGATGTAGAAAGAGAAGCATTTAAATAATTGTTTGCATTGATAAAGCAGCTCATCTAAAGATGCGGATCTTTAATGCTGCGTTGCCGACATCAACACCGTTTGTGCTGCGCGTCAAAGTTTCAGGCAGTGAAATAAAAAGTGCTGCTTTTGCAACATAATCTTGGCTGTTTGCTTTCTTCCTAATCATCCGTCTTTTGGACGCCGGAGTGCAATCATGAATCATTTGTTTGTGGCGGAGCGGCGTTTACAGCTGCAGCTCCTCATAAATACCCAGAGTTTCCACCATAACTCAGGTTTTTCTCTGTCGTCGGGGAAATCCTCCGGGAGAGAGCGCACAGCGAGATCTACTGCTAAAGCTAAAGGTCATAATAATGAAAACATATTAATGCAGACTTTCTTTGCAACCCTTAAATCAGGAGTCATAAGAGTTGAGGACAGAGTTGATAAAGTGTGTAATAAAACGTTGCATCACTCATATATCAGCCACAGTTACACTGTAAAAGTTTCAGAAAACTCAGGTCAAAGTTAAAATCTCTGCTCTAATATCCATAAACCATAAAAAAGGTTTCATGATCTGTTGAAAAAGACAGCTTTTCGATATCTTGTCATTTTTGAAGAATCAATATTTTATTTCAGTTCCTGGGTTTTAAAATAAGACATTTAAAAACAGAAGACGGATTTATTGTCTTCTGTTGATGTTTATGGAAAAGCAGATTGTTTCTGACTAAAAACATTCAGGTTTCAGGGTATTTTCTTCACTGTTTGTTTGTTTTAACCAGGTTAAGCTAAAACGAAACCACTTTAAATGACGACACATTTACAGAAAAATACTTTTTTAATCTTAAATATAAAATTAAAATTTTTTGAACATCTTTACTGCTCTGATAATGTTTTCTTTTAAGTAATTAGCCTCATTCTCTGTCTGTTTACTCCAGTTAAACTATTTCATGATTATTTCAATAATCGATTAATCCAATCAATTGTTCCAGCTCTAGGAGGCATGCAATGCAGTCATGCTGAATAAAGTATATTATGTGCACTGATGTCACTAGTTTTTTTAGATAAAAAAATAAGAATTACTGGAGAATCTTTGTTTTCAGTAACTGTTCTTCTCTTCTGTCAAAAACATTTTACCTTAATTGTTGAGTTTTCATTTGCTGTAAGAGGAAAATCATCAATCATACATAAAAGCCATAAAACAAGTTTTTGTGTAGTAAATCTTTGTAATGTGCTTCGCTTTGTGAATTAAATTGCTGAGATAAATTAACTTTTTCAAACTCATTTAATATAAAAGAGATTTTGAAAACCTTCTGACCTTTTTTCTGCATTTCACAGTTCATCTTTATATTATGTTGAGGTTTAACACGAGGTACTGCAAAAACACAAAATATGACCAAGTATTTTTGGTCTAGTTTCTAGTCTCTTATGGACTTGAAATGAGTCAAAATTAACTCACAAATAAGCTTGTTTTACGTCAATATTCATATTGGATTAAAAATACTTATTTCACTGGCAGATTATTTCACTTATGACAACAATTTTTTCCCATATTGCAGGTGAAACAATCTGCTGGTGGAGCTACAACTTTTTCACAAATATTAAGACTTTAACAAGCCTCTATATGTTGCAGAAAAGTTTCTTGTAAGTTAGTTTGTCTTATTTCAGGTGTGCTGAGATATTTGCACTAGAAAGACTTTTTTTCAGTTTCTGAAAAAGTTTTTTTACATATTTTTTGTCTCGAAAAAAATACTTGTTTTGGAAAAAGTTTTTTATTCTAAAAATACTTTTTTTTTCCAGTTTCTAGAAAAGTTTTTTGTTTCTAAATAAACAAAAACAAAAATCCCAAAACCTGCAGACAACCAGGCGTGGTTATCAAAATTTTGATAAGATTTTGCGTTTTTGCAGTGTAACGACTATAACATCACTGCAGCCTGTATTTTACATTTTAACTGGTAATATTAGTCAAGCTTTTGCAGCAACATGTTTGAGAATCTCTTTAAAAAATCTCCACCCTGTTAGGGACATGTAACAGCACGCTTATGAAACTTTGCCCATAAAGTTAGTGTGTGAGGAAGAGTGCTTTCACACACACACACACACATGCACACACCTTTTCCTCCTGTTTTCCTGAGCCTGCCGGTGAGGCTGTGTGTGTCTGAGTGTGATTAATCCTTCACGAGACGCCGTGGCATTTGACTTGGCAGGAACGACGACGGAGCAAAGCTTAGTCAGCACAAACATAAATCCATCTGACTGGCACAAAAAAGGGATGAGGACCTGCAGCAGTGACCCCGACTGCGAAGCACAGATGAAATGTCTGCAGAAGAAAAAGATGTAAACCGAGTTTAACGTATGGAAAACCTCAGAAACTCAAACTGGAGACTGTCAAATTCAAGACAACCGCAGGTAAAACATCCTGTGGTCATGAAGTTTATATATCTGTAGAAGACGGGTTTATCGTTTTATATGTTTACAACAGTTTTAAAAATCTAAATCAAATTTAGACAAAACTTTCTACATTAATTGTTATTTACTAACAGTAAAAGTTTATTGTGTTTGCCTGTACACTGCAAAAACACAAAATCTTACCACATATTTTTTGGTCTAGTTTCTAGCACACTTGGAATGAGACAAAACTAACTTAAAAGTAACTTTTCAGCAAGATAATGGAGCTTGTTTTAAGTCAGTAATTCCTTAATATTGATTAAAAAAAAGGACTAGTTCTACTGGTGCCGTTACCTAGCAACACCAGCCAAGCCCAGCCCGTCACCTAGCAACGCCAGCCAAGCCCAGCCTGTCACCTAGCAACCCAGTTCTAGTTCAGATTATTTCACTTATAACATGACATTTTTCACGTTATAAGTGAAACAATTTGCCAGTGAAACTAATACTTTTAGTGCAACTTTGCATTAAAATATCATTTAACAAATAATGTAAATTTTACACTTTTTATGCAACTTCTGATGCAACTTTGCATTAAAAATGTAATTATTTACTGAATGACACTTCATGACCACCGCCATAAACATTCATGACATTATGTCAGTCTTATGCACACCACTTCAAATAAAGACCCTGAAAAATGGCAGCTGCTACAAAGCATCAAATTTAATCAGACGGGATAAAATAAAGCAAATCAAAGGAAATGTCTGCATTTTTTAAAAATACCTTAGGATCAGGGGTGTAGAATATCAAAAATTGTACTAAAGAAAGAGCAGCACTATTTCAATATATTTTAAAATAATATTTGTAACTCCAGAGTAGGAACAGCATTTGGTAAAAGTGCTGCTGCGCTAACACGGCGCTGTGGTCCGGTGTCTCTGACTGGCTTCAGTCAACTTTGAACCCAGCTGTGAACCATCCACCATCTCCCAGCTACAGCGGTCTTTCTGTCACTTTCTTGTGATCTAGTCGAAGCTGCAGCGGCAGGATGGAAAGATCAATACTTACTTGAAGAAAAAATGAGTTTGCGCCAGTCCAGAAGAATGGAGGAAGCAGAGAGAAGTTCACTGTGAGTTCAGAGGGTTGTGACTCAGCAGCTCGCTTCACTTCAGAGGCCTCCCAGGCTGCAGCAACACGAGACCCTGAAACAACATCCACTCTCATTACGACTCGCTGGAAGCGCCGGCTGCCAACCTGCTGATGGCATCCAACCTTTGTGTGATAACTACAGCAGTGCTGCTGCCGCAAACTGGCATGAAAAACACACACAGCTCTTGGATCTTCATGGCAGCATCTTGGGACTCAGACGGGCTTCTGAGGATAAGATCTGTTAGTTAAAACCAGAGGCTGAAACACCCGGAGGATGAGTTCAAATGGAGGTTAAAGTTCTCTTTAATTTCATTTTAAAACATTTTTTCCTTATTCGTAAACAAGGAAAAGATGTGAAGCTTTACTAGGATGTTACTAACCTTAGATTATGTTTTCAACCAATTAGCACACATACATTGTGAAAACTCAGTTCAAAAATACTTAATTAATCCCAAAAGGTAATTAAATGTTATTGTAATTCATTCTTTATTCGGGTTCTTTCAGTTTCTTCAGATTTACTATTTGTCACACTTTAAAGGGGCAGTATCATGCCATGGCATATAATGCCATTTTATAGCACCATAAAGTAAACTGAATAAAAATTGTCTATATAAAAATTCAACATATGTCATTATGACTTAAAAATAAGTGAACTTTGTTATTTAAGGTATTGAAATTGTCTCTGTCTCTTTAAAAACTCCTTCTCTTTTTGAAACATCACATCTCTCCTCTATTAACCCTTTAGAAACATTTTTACCAGCGTTTCACTGAGATGTAGCTCCTACATTGAGTTCAGCAGATGTTTGCTAATTGCAGCTGGCTAGTCTGAAGGAGCAAAGTGGAGCAGAGGTGTGCTGTGAGGCAGAAACTCAGTAGCTTGGAAACTGCAGCTTAGGTCCAACCAGGCGTTTTGCACAGCTGAATGGTTGCCATGGAGATTCAAGCATTTCTCAAGCATGCATGAAAGAATCAAAGGAAAACTGAAGGAACAACATTATAACATGATGTAAAGCTAAAAAAAAGTTGATTTTACATAATATGGCCCCTTTAACGTGCAGATAACTCACTTATACAAAAGCAGTTTTCAAATATTTCAATTGTTAAGGAAAAAAGTTACCCAAACAAGCCTGGCCCTTTGTGACAAAATCTTAAATCATTGTGCTACTCTTGCAAAATCTGCATTAAACAACATACGTGGCCATTAAAACTGTGCAAAAAGTACTGATGAAAATGTACTATTTGTCAAATTATTCACTTACAACAAAACATTTTCCCGATGTTATGAGTGAAATAATCTGCCAGTGGAACTAGAACTTTTTAAATAATAAGGAGTTATTTACTTAAAAACAAGCTCCTATGTTGCTGAAGAGTTACTTGTAAGATAGTTTTGTGTAGTAAGATATCTGCGCTAGAAACTTTACTTACTTGGTGATATTTGGTGTTTTTGCAGTGAAAA